TGTGTGTGTGTGTGTGTGTGTGTGTGTGTGTGTGTGTGTGTGTGTGTTACTGATAAAGCACATTTCAGAAGTTAAGAGGCGAGGCGGGTGAGTTTGAGTGATCCCTGAAGCTGTCGGCACATTTGTTCCCTCCAGCTTACATTACAGGGCATTTAGAGGGAGGGATGGAGGGGGTAGTGCATGTTCTACTCACACTGATACTGGGGTACATGGTTTGATGTTGTTTCATGTTGATGAGGGGCTTAACTACCAGAACGTGCCTCCTTTGAAATAGCTTTGACACGAGGAGGTGACTCCAGGTTTGCTTCTTTTATTTAACCGATGGTGTAAATGCAAACCTGGACAGGTGGGTGCCAGGGTTATGGGCTGAGACGCTAAATAATGGAAGGTTAGGTTCAAGCATTAAAATCCAAATGGGTATTTTTAAGTACAGTAACACTAGATACCAGTCTGTTCAGGAGTTAGGGTTGTGGAGTGCAGAACTAAATCTTTTTAGCAACAAGTTTTACATATGTGAAACTTATTTCTCTGACGTAAGTACATATAAATGGTGATGGTCTGGAGAAACCGTTTTTGTCAATGTAGTCTTTTCCCTTTTGGAGGAGAGCATTGATAACGGCTTCAGTTCTCCATCGATAGGTAGAGCGTTGAACATATTCTAAATTTAGTAACTTAAACTGATACTGATTTTTTTTTTTTTACATTTAGCTTCTGTCCCACACCCACAGCAGTACATTGCTATGCTCCCATACCGGTTCACCCCTTGTTTTCGGTGTCGTTATCCAAATACTCTTCGGTCGTTTCACTACTGTTTCTACTCTTATGTGTTAAATAGTTTGCATGTTGCAAAGCTGCACATGCACGCTCCTGATACTGCAGGTATAGAGAGTATCATTCACACTGCTCATATAAAGATGAGTTCTACCGGTTCCCCTGAACTTTCCACCCCTGTGTGATCAGCTGTACGAACCACAAAGCTCTGTCAGCTGACGTGTGACTATGAAGACAATTCTGCTTTTGTCCATAGGTGAGCTCTAGAAATCATTCAGCATGGCCTGGTTGACCATTGCAGCCAGGCTGCTGCTGGACAAAAGACCAAGTCAGGAGATTTTCCAAGTTAATCTTTTTTTTATACCTGCACTACACAGCGTTGTTGTCCGGATGAATCCGTTGCGAAAGGTCTTTTTCGAACAGCACTTTGAAGTCCACCGTGCAGCTGTAAATCTCCTCTGCTGCATCTTTTCAGCTCAGCTCCTCTGCTCCTCCTGAGGCACTGAGAGGCTGTGTGACTGTACTGGGAAGCCCCCCTAATGTTACATTAGTTACCAATTGCTGCTGGAGGAAGAGACAACTGAGTCTCCTGACAGCTTTCACACGTGTTCTGTTGTATCGACTACATGCACGGTACCACAGAAGGAGAAAGTGAAACATTTACAACATGCTGCTCAGGACTGAAACTAGTGCTACTATGGATGTAATGAAAGCCCGTTGTTGCGTCGCTTCCTCCTCTGGGGTTTTCCAGTACAGTGTAATGATGATCTAGATCAGGGGTGTCCAAACTGTTTTCAAAGAGGGCCAGATTTGATAATGTGAAAATGCCGAAGGGCCAACAGTCCCTGCTGACATTATTTTAAATAATACAAGTAGCCTATACATACATTGTTATTTAATCATTTTATTTTCAATGACAGCAAATAGCAATGTAACCAAATGTAAGCATTCATGTGTGACCGGAGTTTGGACATGCCTGGCCTAAACCTTCGTTGTTTCCTGTGAAGATGGAAGTTTATTTTGAAAAGACAGTATGCATGTAACAAGCGAAAACAGACTCATGTTGCTGGACTTTTGCAGGAAAAACGCACGAAAAGTGAGGAGTAATATTTCGTAAGATATCAATAAAACGGGGATGAATTTATATCATTGTATGAAGAGAGTGACATGAGAAGATCTCTGTAAGTTAAATCAGCTATAATCACTCTTTTAAAGTGATTAGTGACTCGTCTAAAGCATTTAAAAAAGGAATAACTTCAGTAGAATCATTCTATACAATGTAAAGAAGTTACATTCTGATACAATGTAACTTCTTTACATTCTATTAGAATGTAAAGAAGTTACATTCTGATACAATGTAAAGAAGTTACATTCTGATACAATGTAAAGAAAGTTACAGTGTTGCCTTTTCTTTTCTTTCCACAAGAACGTAATTTTGTCAGGTTGATAAAAAAATGTCACTTTACTTCCTGACATTATTGTTACTTATGGTGAGACAATATGAATATGACTAGTCAGTGATGGTTGTGTACAGTTTGTACCAATTCTCTTAATGTTATTGGTTGTAAACAAACTGCTTTATAGAAATACTGTTACACAGGTTTTGTATCAATGTGATGAGGTATGTTTACTCGTTAGTTGTTCAATTGTAAATTTAGATTTATTTATTTTTTGCCAAAAACAACAAACATTCCCACAGTATTTTAAAATGGTTGAATATACTGTGTAATGTTGTATATCAATATACAATTGCATACATATAGTGTATTAACACATTTAGCGTACACTCAATGATATGGATGCGGTGGACATATTAATAGGAACACCTTTATAACTCATTACAGGTCAACACAAACTGCAGAGTCCAAAATGACCATGAAGTTGAACCTCTCTACATTATAACCTTCATGAAGGTAGAATTTATGTCCAGCCTGCGTTAGCTTAATGTGAAGCCTTCAGTATAGACTTTAAAAACCACAAAGTCTCCTCTGAATAAGTACTTTTCTTACAAACTAGGATGGCAGATGTGTGTGTGTGTGTGTGTGTGTGTGTGTGTGTGTGTGTGTGTGTGTGTTCGCCAGATGTCATTTAAGGGCAGATCTAGCTTGTTATTACCGAGCCTGTAGAAATGTTTGGTTCTCTGCTCCACCTCTGACATGACACAACTTAATCATCCAAACAAACCCTAATTGGCAGCTTGGCATTCTGTGGTGCTGTGTGAGGGGAAACGGGACACCGCGTTTAGACACTTTATGTGACCCAGACACATGATACCGCCATGTTTTCAGCTCAAAGTGTAAAGATCAGTGGGAGTTGTTTTTGAACTTCCTGTCACCTGGCTCAGGAGAGTACGTTGTGAGGTGTGTGAGTGTCACTCTTGACCTGTGTTTTGATGCATCCATTCTTTTTCTATACTAAATGTCACCATCTTCACTATATAATGTTGCAGAAAGAATGGCCAACCAGATCCGTTTTGTGTTGCACTCACTCAAACAATGCCACAACCTGTAACTATACGTATCCAATGCCTGTTACTGGCTTTGAGTCCCAGGGCTCAGCTGTCATGGACTAGTTTTGTCACAATGAGGTCATCGTCCGCTGCACTGACTGCACTGCTTCCTGGATTAAGACGCGTAGATGTGTTACAGTAAAAGTGTGACTTCTCATTCTGTCATTCTGTCCTGTAGTCTAGTGACCTCTTTGTGTGTGTGTGTGTGTGTGTGTGTGTGT